TCTCTTCTTACAGTTATGTCTTAGATACGCGAGTCATTTAGTCTCATTAATTATTCCTGTACGGATTCTCAGCTTTACACATCTTATTAATTTCTATGAATAAAAAAAAAAAAAAAAAAAAAAAAAAAAAAAAAAAAAAAAAAAAAATTGGCGCACGTCTATAGATCACATCACAGCCCCGACACGCATTTTCATGCAAAATGGAAAGAAAGTATATTAAAAATCCTGTCTGGTTTATCGTCTCTTTAGGCGTTAAATTTTTCAATGCTTCAAGTCTTCAAACTACAATCTCTTCGGTATCCGTAATGATAGACAAACGCGAGTCCCCTGAAGCGGAGTCAATCATCGCCATAACAAACAGACACACGACAGCCTTTATGAAATATTTTAAAGCTTGCGTAGATCCTCTTAGATTTCGAGGGCCTTCCGTCTATTGCACGCTAAGAAATAGGACAAATTAATGAGTTGTGAAGCTGGTGAATTGACTAACGTAATTACGTCGAAAGAATGGATTAATCAAAGTGAGTGAGGAGTTGATGTCGAGTGCTTTTCAATTGGCTGAAGCTACGCAGTACCTCGCGTAATATTGTATTTAACCCGCAGCGCCCTCTCTCTTCGTTTTACCGGAAGTATCTTGTTTGAAAACCACTCACCAGTGCTATTATCTCTGCGCAGGCTGTCGTCATAGCAACACGCTAATCTGGCGGACGACACAATTGACAAGCGATAACAAAAGACGAGCTAAGACGCACTGTAAATAATGTCACGGATCGGTAAAACTGTCAAACACAGCACTAAGGTCGTGTTAAGTGCGTAAAAAGCACGGCTGGACGTCGTGCCTCGAGATAGCATATCGTCTTTTTACCATAGGTGGTCTCCAATGTCTCTTCTTACCGTCGCTCGCTCGCGTACTCTTTTCTTCCTTTTCTTTTGATTATAGATTATTGAGTTGATTTATGTGGTATTTTCTTAATATCTAAAGCAATTAATTTGCTATGATTCAGAGCAAGGAAGGAAAGGAAGGCGATGAATATGCTTATAGTCTCTTTTGTTTAGACGTTCGGCCAAGCGAGCCTTAACGTGTCATTTAGAACGAAAAACTAAACATTTTGTCGACCAAACGCAAGCCAATCACTTAGCATTAGCGGCCACTTTCACGGATATTTCGACTTATTTTTTAACTATTCAAATTTACGTTCACGTCTGAGTTTATTCTAAGTTTGGTTTGCTAATGAGTCGGCAAAAAGAGGCTTTTGAAAAGATTAATATTGATTGACCGCGTTCTGCGATCAAGGCGTACTTCTTATCTCTGTCGTTCACCTACAGACCTTGTTGGTCGTCCGAGTGTCTCCTTAAAAAACCCCACATATCTTTTACAGGTTTAATCTTTGGTGGAATTTCAGCCAAGGCCGTGTCAGAAGTCCAAACGGTCTCAACAACATCACGAAATAAATATCAACTATCGTCAAGTAATATAATTATTCAGCGTCAAAATAAACAATAGGCAAACCGAAACGAAGCCATTTCAGCAATGATTTCCGAGCGAACGCCAACCATTTGAATAAGTGAAAGAAAGCGAAAGAATCACTCACGGGTGGACTTCATGTCTATGATTACCTTTTATAGGTTTGTCGGTAAGCCTGGCTGGAAAAGCATCAATTTAACCGCAAACTAATCTCCCATTTTTCTCCCGTTTTGATAGGTGCACTTCTTAGTTTAGTCTGCGGCTAGTCAGCCGGTATATAATGTATTGCCCTCGAATATAACAATAATATATCAACTCACGCGCGAACCAAGTCACGCTTGACGTTTCGTTCGCGGCATCCAGTCGTCCCCCCCACGTGGGCGTGTATTTGCGAGCTCGTTGAGAGCTAAACCCACCTCCCAAGATCGCTGGTTGGCTAACGTTCTCTGTGTGTGAATTTGCGTTGAAGATCATCAATACCGACTCGTCTGGGTTTCACTGCTCGCGTTCTCCCGGCGAAGACAGTTACGTTTTTCATTGTACGACGTACTCTATCACTAAATAACAAGCGAGCTACAAGGATTACTATAAACTGCTCAAGTATACCAATCAACAGTAAAATTTCTGTGTTTGGTTTTGAATTTTCAAGGATAAAGACGGGGAATTCATGGTTTATCGTGTCACGGCTCGCCGGCGGTCGTGAAAAAATTTTCAGTTGCGATCGGAGGCACTCGTTGTTCGGAATATTTAATTCGTTTGAGCATCAACATGGACGAGGATTTAAATCATACGAGCTCCAAGAGGCAAGAATCGAGAGAAAAACGTAGTGGATCTGCGTCTGAGTACGATGAATCTGTGCCTCGAAAGAAAAGACGACGATGTGGAACGTGCGAGCCGTGTACAAGGAAAGTTAACTGCGGAGACTGCAGCAACTGTGTGAATCGTAAGACTGGTCATCAGATTTGCAAGTACAGAAAATGTGTTCAACTCAAAAAGGTGTGAAATAGTTGAGTACTTGTGTTGATTCTTAACGTTATAGCTACGAAGAACTAGTACATAGATTGCAGCAATCAATCCTGTGATTTCTTCACGGTACAGAATTATTTCCTAACACGATTCGATTTATTCTATCCATGCAGAAAACTTCCACTGTTTTGCCCCAACCACGAGAAAACACATCAAACGCTAAGCAGGAATCGTCTGAACCCAGTTCGCCCGTAGAGGTGCAGTCTACTCGTTTAAGCCCAGCTAAAGTGGTGAGTTGCCATAAAAAAATATTTTTTACTGTTGTAGCTTGTATGTTTATTTTAATGAGCGCTAGATTCCGATTAGAATTTCTAGACTTTTTTTATTATGGGAGCTAAAAGCCGATTTTCTGTGGTTTACATGTAGGCCTCAGACAGCGATGATGCTGAAATAGTCAGTGATTCGAACGAAGAGTCGAAACCACAAGCGCCGAGTAAACAGATCGATATAGACGAGAAAGCGAAACTTTCTAGTCCAAGCAATCATCAAAGTGAAAATTCAAATATCCGAGAGGAAGTCATGGCTAGTCTCAGCGCTACGAATGTGTGCCCTGAGGTGGTCGTCCAAGAGACTTCATGCTCACAAACCGCTATAGAACAGAACGCTTTGACACCGCCGAATAACACAGCTCCACGCTGCGATGAGAGCCCGGCACCCCAACCGTGTCGTTGTCAAGGTATAGTTCCTATACTGTTTATTTTATTTTTAAGAACAAGCAGCTTCGAACAGCGTTGCGCCGCGCGTGCAAGGATAAGAGACAGCTCTGGATAGATCGCTGTCACCAAATACGTCCGCTAATCTTTTTGCGCATTTCGGAGTAGCAGAGCGCCTCGTCGTTGGCTGGGTTTTGATAGCGTGAGGGAGGAATTAAAAATGCCGACAATCTTTTGTTTTGAGGTCTAAATACAACTAATTGGAGATTAAGCCGGGATGCGAGATGGAAATTTATTAAAATGTATCGCGGTTGGCTAGCGGGTTTGAGGATTGTTGACTAGAGTATTTATTCTTTTAAAAAGCCTTCCTAATAGCCTTTTGGCGTAATTTCATTAAGAAGGCAGTGGCATCATCGGCTCGCTTTATCGCTATCACAAGTCGTTCTTGAGTGTTGGATTATTCAGCCGTTTGTTTAGAGAGGGTCTGCTAGTTCAGTCAAAACAGATACCAAGAAACCGAATGCGGTATTGATACGTGCGTACACGTTCGCTTCTCACGACATCTTGGACGCCAACTGCTGCTCGTCTGAAACCTTATTTAACCAAATTAATTCCTTCATTACTTGTTCAGGTTAACACTACGTAAAACCTCGTAATCCTAGGTAAATCTAGATGAGCCTTAGCGTTGATCACGAGCCTGTTCCCAACATAATTGCCGATAAAAATAATTCTTAATGGAGGAAAAAAAACATTTTTGTTTACGAGACATGGTGAGTCCATCTTTCCTGTGCTCTCCGGAAATTGATTGATATAAGTCCCCAGAGGTGAACGTTTTTAATACCAATTGACACTACCGTCTTCTTTTCCCGTTACTACGCAACAGCGTAGTTCGACTAATCGCGCGTTATCAATTCGTAAATAGTTTTGGGATTTGAAGCTTTTTTCTAGTCGACATTTGTAATGGAAGACTTAATTTGTGCGTGTAGTGCTTCGAAGTTGCTTGTTTGTCAATATGTACAGAGTGCAAAGTCTTGCTTTATTGATCGTAGCTCGTATTGTTTGCGTTCTTCATGATTGATGAAGGGTTTCCTTAGGATTGAAAAAGGTTCTAACGAGAAGGCAGACAAGCGCTCTAATTGTCAGACCATATCAATAGAGAATGCGCTGTAGCGTGAAAACCCTAGATTAAATCTACGAACAAAATGCAAATCCAAGCGCTGTTTCTAGAACGGAGTTGAACTTCAAAACCCCATGCGTGATCGCAGTCTCGTTCCCCAGATGTGCACAATTAACTTTTAAGACGCTCAAGAGAGCTTACCCGGCGACTTTTTAACGTCTAAACTTCATATCTAGCCCACGCAATACACGAAATACGACTTATATCAAAATAAGCTCTACCGGCCTATTGACTGAACTTTATAGAAGAGAAGCTTTTAACTTATTATATTCTCGTCCGAGTCAATAGGTGGTCTGGCTATATTTGCATATCAATTTTACTAACGTCTAATGAAATAATTATTCAAGGAAGCCTTCAAGTATCGATTTTCTTTATTTTTGAAAAACATTCTGATTTCTAAAATTAATTGTACGAGAATAGATGTTGATGAACAGTGGCGTTTTTACTAAGTTCACGAAGCCATAAGCTTAGTGTTGTTATTACTTATTAAAGGCTCAAAATGTGTGCAACATTAACGCAGTGCTTCAGGCTTTGATTGACAGTCTCTGTAGAAGCAAGTCTAGTTTATTGATAAATGCGTCCTTTCGTAGTGTTCTTGTAACAACACGAACTTTATCAATGATAGATATCTAGAAGAAGTGCTAATTGAAACGGCAACAATAGAGAACTTCATATAACATAAAAGCCAAGGTTATAGATTTGTTGAACATTATATTGGAATATCGAAGGTGTGTGAGCTTAATCTCTTTGGGAACTGAACAATTCAATAGACATCACTTTACCTTTACTTTTTTTGTCAGTATATCTTACCTTTATTTATTTATTGTTTTGTTGTCTTTGGTAAATCTTGCTTTGTATTCAGTGGAGTTAAAAGCTTTAGTTTGCCGACGGGAGAAATAGTGTCATGGCCATTAGCATTCCTTCAGCTAGCCATACTATTCTTCATCAAATTTTCACCACTTAAGTTATTTTATTTTTTTAACTCCAAGGTTGTTTTTCCATGTTGAAACACTTGGCTCCTACAGATATGGGTCTGTTTTTATTAGCTCAGGTTTTACATAAACAAGTACACATTATTCGTAATGAGAAGTCGAGTCTGGAAAATTCCTAAATATACTCTAGAACTGAGTACCTTGTATACTTTGGTGTTTTTTTTCGCCTGAATCCTGATCTTAAATGAAAGAAAAGTTTTTTTTTTTTTTAACTTTCTAGCCAAAAGACTCTTTTTTACTGAGATATTTTAATTAAAATTAAATCTTAAATATATCTTAATTTGCATTTAATCTTTGTACAGTTAAAAATATTTTGTTGCAATAGAGGGGCAATAGAGGTAGTGCCTTTAATCTGTTCTTGTAGATGTCATTATGTACAGGTCCATGTGTGTCGCAGCTAGCTAGCTAGGAACTTGTTCTCAAACTCTGACCCTTGTTTCTAGAAAATGTCTTTTCTTTTAGCCACAACACTCAACAGACATGTCAGTTTTGGCTTCACCCATTCAACCTCATGTTGATTTGATACAATGACTTTATGTAAAGGGAAGGCAATCTTGTATTTCAATGGCATTTACCTGGCCTTTTTATCAATTTGATACGATGACTTTCCCTAAAGAGGAGGGTATATTGTATTTCCATGCCATTCACCAGGCTTTTTGTCTTCTTTATTTGATTTCAATCAATTATCAATCAATCAAGCAGTCAGTCAGTCAGTCAGTCAGTCAGTCCATCAATCAGTCAGTCAGTCAGTCAGTCAGTCAGTCAGTCAGTCAGTCAGTCAGTCAGTCAGTCAGTCAGTCGGTCAGCCAGTCTGTCAGTCGGTCTGTTAAGCAGTCAGTCTGTCAGTCACTTTTGGTGATAAATTATCACGAGCCGGTCTTTTAGAAGCTAAGATCAGGCTAATCCAACATTTTGAACCTGTCGTAACCAATAAATCTCTTTTTTTTTTAAATATAACATGGTTATGCGCTATTTTCAGTATTTTGCAAGACAACATTCTCTTTAATGTCCAAGTTCCTTTGTATTTTTGGTGTTTTGTGTGTGTGTGTGTGTGTGTGTGTGTGTG